GCCTAAGAAGTGACATCAGTTAAAGAACTTTAAACTCAAGTGTTTCGTTCACTAAGAATAAAAAACATCAAGGTTTTCATAAGACACCATATAATACAAGGAGGCAACTATGCTAGGAGAGAGCACCTGGTAATAACCAAGAGTTTCAAGACAGGACTTCATGGCTGGGCGTGGTGGCTCACGCCTTTTCATAAGACACCGTATAATACAAGGAGGTAACTATGCTAGGAGAGAGCACCTGGTAATAACCAAGAGTTTCAACACAGGACTTCATGGCTGGGCGTGGTGGCTCACGCCTGTAATCAAAGCACTTTGCAGACCAAGGTGGGCGGATCACCCGAGGTCAGGAGTTCAAGACCAGCCTGACCAACATGGTGAAACCCCGTCTTTAAAAAACAAAAAAAAAAGGCCGGGCGCGGTGGCTCAAGCCTGTAATCCCAGCGCTTTGGGAGGCCGAGGCAGGTGGATCACGAGGTCAAGAGATCGAGACCATCCCGGTCAACATGGTGAAACCCCGTCTCTACTAAAAATACAAAAAAATTAGCTGGGCATGGTGGCGTGTGCCTGTAATCCCAGCTACTCAAGAGGCTGAGGGAGGAGAATTGCCTGAACCCAAGAGGTGGAGGTTGCAGTGAGCCGAGATATCGCACCATTGCACTCCAGCCTGGGCAACAAGTGCGAAACTCCATCTCAAAAAAAAAAAAAAAAAAAAAAGACATGACTTCATGATACTCTATAGTACCACCGGAAAAACAGAATGAGAACTTGGGAAGATGTTAATGTATCTATTTGAACTCAAAATTATCCTGTAAAATAGTCCATTATTCCAAGAGTCCTTTTGACCCTAATGGCAAGTATGAAGAGTTCTGAACTGGACTGCTATTTTAACTGGGGGTCTCCCTATGCCAGTAACAATAATGCCTTTTCCCTGTTGTAAAACATTTGACTGATTCTTGGCAAACACTCTCATATAACCAGAAGATAACATCAATGCTGGTACATTCTCTAAAAACTTTCTTGTGGATTATTTTTCCAAAAACTTTCCTCCTGGCCAGGCGCAGTGGCTCATGCTTGTAATCTCAGCACTTTGGAAGGCCAAGGTGGGAGGACCACGTGAGCTCAGGAGTTAAAGACCAGTGTGGGCAACATGGGGATACTCCGTCTCTACAAAAAAAAAGGCAAAAATTGGGCCCTGTGTGGTAGTGCATACATATAGCCCCAGCTACTTGGGAGGCTGAGGTGGGAGAATCACCCGAGCCCAGGAAGTCAAAAATGCAGTGAGCTGTGATCTACCACTGCACTCCAGCCTTGGCATCAGAGTAAGACCTATCTCAAAAAAAACAAAAAGCCTTTACTCCTTAGTTTTCCTCAATTAAAAGGAAGAAGTAGGGAAGGAGGAGATGGCAGCAAAAAACTTGGATCATTGGCTAGGCACAGTGGCTCACTCACGCCTGTAATCCTAGCACTTTGGGAGGCCAAGGTGGGTGGATCACCTGAGGTCAGGAGTTCAAGACCAGCCTGGCCATCATGGTGAAACCCCATCTTTAAAAAAAAAAAAAAAACTTGGATCACAGGATATATAGGCTAAGTAGATGTTCACCCCAAAACTTAGCCTTAATCTTCCAAAGGCAAAATGTCCTTTATAACTCCCCCTTCTGTGGTTGCCACTGATCCTAAACCGCAGGCCTTCCTGACGTGCAGCAGACCAGGCTAGATTATGGTTATGTGGTAGGTTCTGTCAGGCAAGCTTTGACAAGGTCTCAAAATAGACCCTGGGTACAAGCCAGGGAAGCTGCCACTCATAGCCTCTGACTCCATCAAACTGTAGCCCTTTGGCGTGTAATTTTTTTCTCTGTGTCTCTCATTTCAAAAAGGAAAAGAATCCTGAACCTCCTCCTGGCCATAAGTAACCTCTATAACATCAAAATGTAAAACTTAAGCGTCCTTTATTCTGTTCAGAAACACTTTGCAGAATAAAGATTTAATCTGTACCTACTTCCTGTCTCGAGAAAGTAATCCATCAATAGCACCCTGCTTTGCAAAAGGATTTTTGGATCTCAAACTCCACAGAGGTTTATTTTATTACAAATAGAGTAGGAGGTGGAACACAGAAGAGAGAAGGTAGATTATTTACTTCTTTCCTGACTAATAACATAGTAGCCAACTTATACGGGGCAAGAAGTTAAACTATACACAATGCTTTTAATTGATACTGGTCATAAAATTCTGAAACAATCAACCTACTATAAAACTATTACCAAATAAAAATGCTTTCTATATGACGGCACCAGTCTTCAAACCACAATACTTCTACTTTTACCAGTAAGAATAAAATTAACCACCTGACACTCAAATGTTTTTAAGTACCTTATAAAATGCATTTGCAATATTTTTTAATGGCGGGATGCATAAAGAATACATAGTAATTAAGAGCTCCTTTCCCTTCCACAAGCCCAAGAAATAAGCTAAATTCCATTATAAATAAAGCCCAACATAGGATTGAGATCGTTTTATCTTTTCATAACTTCAGTGTCCAATCTTACAGCCACACTTTGAAAATACATTCTATATACATTATTAACTAGCTCAAAGACTTATATATGAATTGTTCATTATAGCAGTGTTTATAGAAGGCTAAAAACAACCTAAATGTCTGTCAATAGAAAATGGTAAAATAAATAATGGAAAATGAATAAATTATGATTCATCTACACTAGACAAGACTTGCAGTCTTTTAAAAAAAAAGTGAGATAGAATTATGTGCTAAATATAGAAAGATCGTCATATGTCAAAGAATGAAAGACACAGTATATTTCTCCTAGACATATGTGATTGTATATATGATAGAAATTTCGAAAGAGATACACAAAAAAACCATTAACACTGGTTGCTTGGATTGGGGGTGGGGGTAAGGAAAGGGTGAGAGTTTGTGGCGGAAAGCAGACTTTCTTTTCATCGTATACCACATTTTTAAATGTTTTATCAATTTTTTAAAGTCCCATAAACATCTACTAAACATATGAAGTAAGCATTCTCCTTCTATAATGCCATTTCTTCCCCCTCCTTAATCATCTCTACTTTTATCTATTGTTCTCCCTAGCACTAGGCTAAAACAAACGGATACATATGTTCCCTATGTATGGAATTATCTTATTAAAAAAGAAAAAAGAAATGGAATTATTTCTTGACCTCCCCATAAAAATAAATAACGGAACAAATACAAAAGTATAACATGTGATCAACCCAGTTTTTAGCCTAGTGTTTGACTCCTCTGAAGTCTAGAATAATTTACTATAAGCCAAAAAGTTCAGAAGGTAAGTTTTGCTCAACTCCCTCCTTCTGAAGTTTTAAAAGTTGAGTTTTATTTATTTTTGAGACAGGGTCTCACCCTGTCTCCCAGGCTGGAGTGCAGTGGTGCTTTCAGGTCTCACAGCAGCCTCAACCACCCAAGCTCAAGTGATGGTCCCATCTCAGCCTCACAAGCAGCTGGGACTGCAGGCACAGACCACCAGCTAATTTTTTTTTGTAGAAACTATGTTGCTCAGGCTAGTCTTGAACTCCTGGACTCAAGCATTCCTTCTGCTTTGGCCTTCAAAAGTTGGGGTTTAAATGATGATCACAGATTCTATTCTTTATTTGCAAATTGGATAAAGTAGTACACTTTCCTGGGTAAGGGACCATCTTTCCATTTAGATTTTCCAGACGGAAAGCAACTACTTAAAAGTAAAAAGCTAAGAAACAGCCTCTATTTTGCAGGTGCAATGGATAATGATCCTAAGACAAAGACAGAAGAATTTTCTTTCCTTTTGAATGATCCTTATCAACATTCCCAGGACACTGCAAGAATTATTTTTTTCTATATATGATCAACTCTGTTCCTTCTCACACTAGGAACAGGGTAAACAATACACAAAGAGTTTTGCAAGAAATTGTTCCCTCCCTCTTGCTAAATTCATTTTTTTTTTTTTTTTTTTTTGAGACAGAGTTTCGCTCTTGTTACCCAGGCTGGAGTGCAATGGCGCGATCTCGGCTCACCGCAACCTCCGCCTCCTGGGTTCAGGCAATTCTCCTGCCTCAGCCTCCTGAGTAGCTGGGATTACAGGCACACGCCACCATGCCCAGCTAATTTTTTGTATTTTTAGTAGAGACGGGGTTTCACCATGTTGACCAGGATGGTCTTGATCTCTCGACCTCGTGATTCACCCGCCTCGGCCTCCCAAAGTGCTGGGATTACAGGCTTGAGCCACCGCGCCCGGCCTTGCTAAATTCATTTCTAATAAAGACTTGTTTTTGTTTTGAGAGGCACAGATACTTTGCCAAATATATTCTCCATATTACCTTGTCCCTTCGTTACGGAGATACTTAAACCCTGCTGCAGGAAAGTTTCCCTTGCATATTTACCTATAAAGACTCAGTTATGGTGATTTCCATAAGGGATTTTCCAAAAGGGAATCTCTGTTCACAGGGAACTGAAATTCTTAAGTCACTATTAGCTGGACAAAAGTCAAAAGCAACATTAGGAAACATTCTGAATATACTGGATAGCCAAAGTAAAAAAAGACAGCAAAATTTAGTGAAAAAAGTAATTTAATTTAGTAAGCTATACCAACAGGACCGACTTGGCATTACTTTATCACTAGCTAAAGTTCTTTACAAAGGAAAATCAAGGTGAAAAGCAGGTGAACTCCAAGAGAAGGAAAAGAAGAAACAAGGCTAAGGGTATCAAGATAATTTTCTAATTTCAACCTTATTTTACTTAACATTTTTAAAGTGAAAAATGACCAAATTACATTTCAGCAATAAAAAGTTATTTCTGGTTTAAAGTGAATCCATTCCAATCACAACTTCAAAACACATTTTCTTCTAGAACAGAACTCAAATAAGAACTCAGCGTAGTTTCATTCTACATTTTAAAAGACAGAATCACAAAAATAGGTAATGCTTTCCACTCAAAAGACTATGTTGCATAGTGCAAATTCTTTCGGTGAACATTTTCGTACCTTAGTGATGGTAGCTCTCCTTTCCACTGACATTTACTTCTAGACCTCTTCATTTATCTTCCCACATCTGGCAAAAAAAAGGCGGGGGGAGCAGTAAAATCACAGCAATCACTTAAAAACCAACAAACTATTCTAAACTCCAGCATTCTGTAAATACTTTACCTTTTATTTCATTTTCATTCTTCATGATTATAAATATGAAGCAACAGACCTAACAAAACATAACACCACACTTCCCAAAAAATGAGTAAAGAACACCAACTCATTAGGCAGACACGAACTTAGCTTTCCTCTATTTCACTTTTCAGATTCATAGCAATGATTCACAGAGTGACCTAACTTCGAAATGAATCACACTTTCCGAAATTCTTATTCTACATGAGTATATTCTAATACTAGGTCATTATCTCTGTATCTGTTAAACAGAGCATGATGTTGGTTAAACAGGGTTAGTACTGCAAGATATTCAAACCACAACAACTTTGGAGTCCCTGCCAACTAACTCTATTTGCAACACAGCATTCTCCAATAATTGCATTTTTTCACGCAGATTTATCCCCAAATGAAAATGTTATCTTGTAAAAATACTATTTTAAACACTGATTAAGAACTTATCCATCCATACCCTGCTCTCCCTCTCTCTTGTTCCATTACTGCACCCACATTCTCTTCCCACTATGACAACATAAAAAAATTAAGAGCCACTATTAATTTTTAGCTTACGTATCATTTTTAGTCAACCAACTCTACAATTTTTTTGTTTATAGTAGAAACGCTGAATCATTCAATGGAAGCTGAAAGAAAACCAGCTACTAACAGTTAAAGTTTAGGAAGCAGTATTTACCTAGCTAGCCATGTCTCAGCAGCCTGTATTTGTATCTCCCACGGTGGAAAAAGTAAAGCAAACACTTGAACATTTTCCCTCTAAGAAAGAAAAAGTGGGTTTCCTTAGGTCCTCCTGCATCCTGCTGGTAAGTCACAGGCAGGGCTGACCGGAGCTCCGTAACTTAACAATCTAGGTGTCAATAACGCCTCCTATGAGTCAAGTATTAACCCAGCAAGCGCCTGTTAAACCTGCGCTCCAACTAGAGTCAAGGAGGAAGGAGTCAAATTCCCCCAAAAATGTTACGCCCCACACCGTCCCGACCCCGTTCCCTGGGGTGCTCGTCCCGGGACAGAACCGGAGTGTGGCGTCTGGGGAGGAAGAGAAGGGGCCTTGGGCACCCGAAACGGAGGGACAGCTGCCCAGTTTCATTTCTCGGACCGTGGGAGTAACACGTACCGTTCCCCAGCGCGGAAGAAGGGGGAACGCTAGAAATCAGACTGGACGCCTGAGAACGCCGCAGGCAGGGGGCGACCCCGGCCCGGGAGCCAGCCGGGGGCCGGCCAGTCCCCAGGGAAGCCCGGCCCCCTAGCCGAGGTCAGAGGCGGCGCGGATCCCACGGGGCTGCGGGGGCCGGGAAGGAGGCCCCCAGCTCCCCGCTCCCTCCCGGTCGGCGGCAGGAGCGGCCCTCACCTGCGTTTGGGCGCGGGCTGTGACGGCGTCGCCGTCCGGGAAGGGCCGAAGCGCTGCTCGCCCGCCCGGCGCCCGCCGGGGCGAGGGGCGAAGGGCGCGGCTTGACGACTCACTCCCGGGTCCCCGGCAAGGCGGGCGGGGACGGACGCGGCGGCTCTCGGCTCCGGCAGCCGGCTAGTCGGTCACGCCGAAGTGCCCTCCGCGCCGCGGCGGAGACAGCGGGAACCGGCCCCGGGAGGAGCCGCAGCCCGAGCGGCCGACTAAGGAGGCGAAGGATGGGCGGGGCCCCGGGGTCGACGACCCGCTCACCCGGAAGCAGTTGTGGCCGCGACTGCCCAGGAGTGGCGCTGCCGCGGGCAGGGCTCGCACCCCGCTGGGCCAAGTACCCGGGGCTGTCCGGCGGCGAGCCGGGCCCTGGGCCGCCGGGCGAAGTTCCCCAAGCTGCCGTGCTCCAGCCTCCCTGTTCCACCATCGCGAGCCGTTCGGGGCCCAACTGGAGGGAGGGCGGCGAGGCGCGGCTGCCCGTGGGGCGGAGGCCTGAGGCGGCCTTGGCGGCGGGGCTCCTCTCGGTCCCACGGTTCCTGCGCTCTCTCCGACCCAGTGCCAGTGCCGGTAATGTGAACTCAGAAGTGTGCCGGTTCAAGGCTGCCCCTGCCCTGGTTGCCTCTAAACCCTGCGGCCTGGTGGGTGTGGGAAAGGGGACTGGAGTGGCTGTGTCAGGAAACGAGTTCGCGAGGGAGGCAGGGAGGGTGGGTGTGGTCGAAATGCCAGAGCCTTATCTCGAAAATGAAAACGCGTGACCTTAAAATTATTTCTGGGAAGAACGCTTGCTCGAGAGGTGGGGGGCGGGATGCAGGGAGGGCTGTGGAGTCTGCTAAAAATCTGAGAGACACGGGCTTGTCATTTATTCCGGAAGTATCCATCGAGGCCCACCAGGTTCAAGGCACTAGGGGAGGACCAGAGTCGTGCATTTGGAAAGCTTACCTTCGAATGGAACAGACGGACTGAAGCAAAGAAACAAGGTAATCACAGGTTTAGTAAGGCTTTGCAGGAAACGGAGAATGAGGAAAAAGATTTTGTGGGCGAGGCCTCTTTGGCTGGATAGTAGGATGGCTAGAGAAGACCTCCAGGAGGAAGTGATAGTTGAGGAGCCTCCTGACAAAAAAAAAAAAAGGCATGAAATTAACCTAAACAAGACTTTACATATAGGGACTGCAGATTTCAGAACCCCCTGAATAAGCCCACTAGGTCCATGTTGAGTGTCTGTCTCTGAAGCCTTGTAAGGGCTGTTTCTGTGCTGTCCACTTTCCCTGCTAACTTCAGAAGGCTTGATCACTCTTACAGGTTATGTTATGGGCTCTGGCGTTGTGGTACTAATGAGAGAATTTCTAGAGACAGGGCATTATACCCCTCAGCCTTGAAAGACAAATGCTTTAAGCTTTCACTGTTTCTATGTCCCTATTTTTCTCAGAGCTGTGAGTAAACATTAAAACTATGATTTTGGCCGGGCGCAGTGGCTCAAGCCTGTAATCCCAGCACTTTGGGAGGCCGAGGCGGGTGTATCACGAGGTCAAGAGATTGAGACCATCCTGGTCAACATGGTGAAACCCCGTCTCTACTAAAAATACAAAAAATTGGCTGGGCATGGTGGCAGCATGCCTGTAATCCCAGCTACTCAGGAGGCTGAGGCAGGAGAATTGCCTGAACCTAGGAGACGGAGGTTGCGGTGAGCCGAGATCGCGCCATTGCACTCCAGCCTGGGTAACAAGAGCGAAACTCTGTCTCAAAAAAAAAAAAAAAAAAAAAAAACTATGATTTTTACCTTGGCATGTTATGATCTGAATAAAATGATTAATGACATCTTTTGCCAAATTTGTTGGAGACAAAATAAAGGGAGAGGGACCTATTCAGATGCAGTACCTGAATAATACCAACAAACCCAATATGTATTAAATATTAACTGCACAATTAATAAAAAAAAATTGTCTAGATAATACATTGGATTCTCTTGCCCTTTTAATTTTACTCCTCTGCCACTTGTTTTGATTCATGCAAACCAGCAGAAATATTTTGCATTGTGTTTCTGGGAAAACTGGGACTGAGAGGAAGCTAAGACTTACTGATCACTTTCTATTTATACAGCATTGTGCTAGGAACTTAAATATCTCTTCCAGTATTAGGACTAACCTTGAGATACGAGTTTTGTTGTTTGTTTTTTTTTTTTTTTTTTTTTTTTTAGAGATGGGGTTTCACCATGTTGGTCAGGCTGGTCTTAAACTCCTGACCTCATTGATCCAACGGCCTCGGCCTCCCCACGTGCTGCGATGATTACAGGCTTGAGCCATCACGCCCGGCCTGAGATATGGGTGTTATTATACCCACTTTAGTAACAAAGACATTGAGGTTCAGAGAGATTGTGATATATCTACGGTAGCAAAACTAGTAGCTGGAAGAGCCAAAATTTGAACTCTCTCTGGCCCTACTAAATGCATCACCATGAATTATTTCATGAGCTATCTTTCCCTGCACATGAAGTGGTTTTTTTCTGCCAAGAATATGTGTTCCTTTATCTTTTTGGAATATTCTGACATGGGAATGCCTCCAGGTGTGTGAGGACTGACTTCTGTGGGGTTGTATCAATAGATGAAGGGAAATTTTGCGATTGTCTGTACAGTTTGGGGGATGAGGTAGTACGATGTATACATTTTTGTTCCTTTCATAACAAATTCACAGTTTTTATTGATGAGGCTAAGAAATAAATGTTTTGGGCCGGGCGCGGTGGCTCAAGCCTGTAATCCCAGCACTTTGGGAGGCCGAGGCGGGTGGATCACGAGGTCAAGAGATTGAGACCATCCTGGTCAACATGGTGAAACCCCGTCTCTACTAAAAAAAATACAAAAATTAGCTGGGCATGATGGCGCCTGCCTGCAATCCCAGCTCGGGAGGCTGAGGCAGGAGAATTGCTTGAACCCAGGAGGCGGAGATTGCGGTGAGCCGAGATCACGCCATTGCACTCCAGCCTGGGTAACAAGAGCAAAACTCCGTCTCAAAAAAAAAAAGAAATAAATGTTTTGATACCACTTTTGAAAGCCTAATATTTTTATTAGTAAAGTGTGTCCAGGTCAGGCATAATGGCTCACACCTGTAGTCTCACTACTTTGGGACTCCAAGGCAGGTGAATTGCGTAAGCTCAGGAGTTCAAGACTAGCCTGGGGAACATGGTGAAACCTCATCTCTACAAAAAATTAGCTGGGTGTGGTGGCATGTGCCTGTGGTCTCAGCTACTTGGGAGACTGAGGTGGGAGAATTACTTGGGCCCAGGAGGTCAAGGTTACAGTAAGATGTGATCGTGCTACTGCCCTCCAGCCTGGGTGACAGAGGAAAACTCTGTCTCTAAAAAAAAAAGAAAAAACAAACAAAAAAAAACCACACAATTGCTTCTGTATGTGTGTTAGAAATGTTTTTCTAATTTTATTTAACTCCTTACAAGCCAATGGAAACCTAGCAATATAACTGTCTTTGACTGTATATTCGTTTTAAGTTCTCCTGCTAAAAGTTCTCACCTAGATTTCTTTTTTTCATGTTGTTATTTTTTTCTTTTTTACTTTTTATTTGGAAATAATTATAGACTCACGAAAAATTGCAGAAATAGTACAGAGGTCATCTGTAGTATTTGCCCGATTTCTCCCATTGCTACCTTACATACCTATAATACCTTATTAAAACCAGGAAATTGACATATTGCTGTCTTCTTTAGTTTTTTAATTTCTTTTTATGCTTAATTATATCAAAAAGTTTCCATTTTGCAATAATTCATTTCTATTTTATTTGACTTGGCCCTTCCTCTCCTAAATTAGCAAATTTTTTTTTTTCTTTTTTTTTTTGAGACGGAGTTTCGCTCTTGTTACCCAGGCTGGAGTGCAATGGCACGATCTCGGCTCACCGCAACCTCCGCCTCCTGGGTTCAAGCAATTCTCCTGCCTCAGCCTCCTGAGTAGCTGGGATTACAGGCACGTGCCACCATGCCCAGCTGATTTTTTGTATTTTTAGTAGAGACAGGGTTTCACCATGTTGACCAGGATGGTCTCGATCTCGTGTGATCCACCCGCCTTGGCCTCCCAAAGTGCTGGGATTACAGACGTGAGCCACCGCACCCGGCAGCAAATGTTAATAAGCTTGTCCTGGTACTCATCTTGAATTACAGTTTTATTTTTAAAATTTTCTGGGTCAGGCTGGGCACAGTGGCTCATGCCTGAATTCCCAGCGCTTTGAGAGGCCAAGGCGAGCAGATCACAAGGTCAGGAGATCGAGACCATCCTGGCCAACATGGCGATACCCTGTATCCACTAAAAATACAAACAATTAGCCAGTCGTGGTGGTGCGCACCTGTAGTCCCACCTACTCAGGAGGCTGAGGCAGGGGAATCACTTGAACCCGGGAGGCAGAGGTTGCAGTGAGCCAAGATTGCGCCACTGCACTCCAGCCAGGTGACAGAATAATATTCCGTCTCAATTTAAAAAAAAAAATTATCTGGGTCAACACAATTGAAAGTGATTAATTTGTAAGGTTGTTGCTTTTTCTGGTCATTCTGTTCCATGTCATCCCGCCCTAATAAACCTGCAAAATTATACAACTTATATGTATATATTTTAATACTTTTTCTGACCACTGCAGTTTTTTCAGGGACTGTTATCAAAGGAAAACAGAAATACAAGACTCCTCATTTGACTGGATTTGAAAAAAAGTTTCTAAACATCTAACTGTCAAAACAAGAATACTGAGTAGGCATGGTGGCTTAACACCTTGTAATCCCAGCACTTTGAGGGGCCAAGGCGGGCAGATCCCATAAGCCCAAGAGTTCACCACCAGCCTGGGCAACATGGTGAAACCCTGTCTCTACCAAAAAAAAAAAAAAAAAAAAGCAGATTGTAGTGGTGCACACCTATGGTCCAGGCTACTCTGGAGGCTTAGGTGGGTGGATCACTTGAGTCCTGGAGGTCAAGGCTGCAGTGAGCCATGACTACACCACTGCAAGCCAGCCTGGGTGACAGAGCAAGATCCTATCTCAAAAAAAAAAAAAAAAAAAAAAAAAGAATGCTGTGGTTTGTTGGTTATGATGCAAAATCTCACTTATGGCTAATTCTGGTTCTACATGGATTCTCCTACCCACGGCACTCACCCTTTACTCCGCTAGTGATTATGAATGCCTAATCACTGATGATAAAGTAATGGTTTTTCTGTATTATATACTTACTATAAATGAGTAATAAAACGTCCTTCGTATTATAGCTTATTTAACAAACATTTATCTGGCAT